CTTCAAGAACTTGTTCCAAGGATCATAAATGGAGAATTCAACAGGAGTAAGCTAAACTATCTAAACTCACTGGAAGCTATTTTTGCCAGTGCATTCAGTAGTGAATGGAAGTCTGTTTAGTCGGAAGCCTGTTTAGCATGCAAGTGAAGAAGTTGTCACTCAATAGTTTTGTAAATTCAAACTTTTAAAAATGTGAAATTATGTATCAAGATCTATCCCTTAAAGGAGCATTGACAAAACAAGTCCCATGTTGATGAAGCCAATTAAGTTTGCAGTTTGTCAAAAAGACTGCATATTTACACACCTTCTCTAGTATCACTACATCACATAATAGTTGCAAGTGTCATTAAGTACTACCCTGGTCAGAATTCCAGTGATATTAAAGAAATTAGCATTTCAAGTCAGCAATAAGCCAATACATCAATCACTCATGCAATGAAGCACTAAGTAGTCTTCTTTAAAGTGTCAAGCTTTTTGCCAATGGGCAAGTTGTGTTCAGTTATAGTCACTTGGCCAGTGTATGAATTCCCAAGTAAACCTCCTCCCAGGATGGAGGATGTCAGCAAGGGGACTGTGCTGTCCTAAAGATGCTCTGCACAAACTTGGCCTGTTTGGACAATTTAGATGCAAGGCTGTCCTCGGGTTTTTGTCAAGACATTTAGCTCACCAATGGAGTGTGAAAAAAGGGTTTTCTGCACTGTGCGCACAAGTCAACCAAAGAAGTCTAATTTGGAGAAACAAACCTCAGGTGCCATTCACGATTCCTGCACCAGAGAGGAAAAAAAGAAACCCACCAAACCACTTGCTTCTTACCTCATATCTCCATGTCCAGTTCTGAGAGAAGGGGGAAGGATTTGATATGTGCACATGTATGTAAAACAAGCTCTATTCAAGAGAGAAAGGAATAGGGATGTTTTGACATTTGCACATTTATTTGTTACCTCATATCAAAAGGGGACAGAAGTTAAACTTCCTCAGTCACTCTCTGGTTTACTCTGCTCTATCTCCAGACCTCAACCCTGTGAGCTCCACACCCATGGCATTACCCATGATTAAGTTATTGACTGCATATCATTTGTCATTAAGAGTTAGATTTAGAAACAATGGTAGAGTTTACATTCTGTTAGACAACCTTAAATAATCATTTACTCAAATCAATGATGTCATTGTTCACATGCCACAGACCCTACCCAATGCTGATGAAGTGATAAGTACTAAAAACCAATTTCCACAAAGTTTTTATTCCCCTCTGACAGTGTTAGACCAACTAAAGTGAGGTAGATCAGGTCCACATTTCTTATTTAAAATGAAATGTCTCAGGTAGAAAAAAAAATGCTAACTTAAGCCCAAGATGAATTACAAAGCTGTACTCCAAGTCTTCCTGACTGCTACCTCCACTGCACATGTATTCCCCCCCCCCCC